CGCGCCCGCCGCCGCCGCGTCCGCCACCGCCGCGTCCGCCACCGCCGTGTCCGCCGCCGCCGCGTCCGCCTGACTGTGTGCCGATGTAGCACCCTCTGGCGGCTCCGCGGTCGGTTCGGCCTTTGGTGCCGCGGCCTCAGCATCCGCCAAGTCCACGTCGCTGTGCGCCGGCGTGGTGGCCTCCGGCGGCGACCCAGCTCGCTCCGCCTCGGTTGTCGGCGGCTCCCCGGCGCCGGCCACATCCACGTCGCTGTGCTGCGGCGAGGCGGCCTCGGCGGGAGAGCCGGCCCGCTCGGCCGGCGGTCCCGTCAGCTCCTCGCCGGCCAGGTCTAGCTGGCTGCTGGCTGTCTGCCGGCCGGCCTCGCTGTCGACGGCCGGCGGCGGCGGCGGCGACGCGCTGCTAGTTCGCTCGGCCGGCGCCACGCGCTCGGCGCTGACCGCCTCCAGCGAGGCGGCGCGCGTGCATGAGCTCGACGACTCCGGCACCTGGTCGCCGACGTCGATCTCACTGTGTTGGGCCGACTTGACGGAAGGCACAGACGCGGTGCGGTCAGGGGCCGTCGAAGACGCTTCAGCCACCGCTGAGCCGGCCACACTGATATTGCTGTGCGCGGGCGTGGTCGCCTCGGGTGGCGAGCCGGCGCGCTCGGCCTCCATGGCCGGCGCGTCGCCGGCCACGTCCACGTCGCTATGCTGCGGCGAGGTGGCTTCGGGCGGCGAGGCGGGCCGCTCCAGCTCCGCCGAGGCCGTGCTCTCGTGGCCGTCCTCCAGGTCGGCGTCGTGCACACTGTGCGCCGAGCTGGCGGCGGCCGGCGGCGGCTCGGCGGCGGGCGCCGGCGCCGCCTGGTCCAGCGCCATCAGCGATTCGGTGTGATCGCGCAGGTCAGCGAACTCCACCGGCTCGGAGCAGGTCTTCAGGTCACGGTGCAGCTGCTCGGCCGGGTGCAGCCAGCGCTGGCACTCCTCCCAGACGCCGCTGTCCGAGGTCAGCTTGGCAAGCTGATGCTCTCGGCGCAGGTCATGAGATCGCGGTGCAGCTGCTCGGACGGATGTTTCCAGCGCTCTTGCGCGTCCATCAGGCTGGTGGTCTCACGTATGCTCTGTCTGGCCAGCATGCCGCGTACTCCCGCCTGGATCTTGATCGCGGCGGCTTCCTCCTGCTCAGTGAAATCATCCGTGGAATGTGGGGCGTCGATGGTGTCCTCAGTCACCGGCTCCGGCATGGCTTTCAGGCGCGCTTCCTCCTCCTCCTTTTTCCGCTTGTTGTATCGCTCCTTGAAGGTCACCCAGCTGTCCCCGCGGCGCAACAGCCGCTTGCCGAAGAATTCGGCGCAAAACTCGTATAGGTCCATCGGCTGTTCGCGCAGCACTTCCTTGGAAAGGGCGTATATCAACGTACGAAAGCCGTCGGGCAAGTTGGGCCTGGGAAAACTGTTGATTGTGTTGTAGTCCTCCATCGCAGCCTCTATGTTTTCAAATGGCCTATTTCTGGAATCTCCGTATTGACGGGCTATTTGAGTCTGCCCCTGAGGATCTGGGGAGAGACTGAACCGACAGGTAGTGAATGCTGATGAATGCAAGTCAACGTTGATCCGTCCACGATAATTGGGAAGTTCTATACGTTCTGTCAGTTTCACTGAGTTGCGCTAGCAAGATTGTCCAAATGTTTGCTTTGTGCGGAGTGTACATAGTTGTCTACTTTGGCACGTTTGTTCACAAAGTCAATCCCACCAGTTCAGGGGATTCCACCGCTGCGGCATTTCTGGTGAAATCCCTGGACACGGCAACTTCCCGCATACGGCAACAGGCGCACAGTCTCGAACCTCAATCTGAGCGCGTACTCAACGCATCAGCACCCTGATGTTCTGTACTGATTTGCACAGTCTGTATCGACAATCTTCCGGGTAACGTTGCTTGGTCTGCACAATTCCCCGCCAGGATGACATTGGGCGGATCGGTCCACATCATCGCCGTAATCCACCGATGGCATATTTCGAATGCATGATATACCGTTCAGTCTTATCAGGGAAACATAGTCAAGGATAACCAAGATCATCGTTGGCTTTCTATGGATACAACAGTTCTTCGCATAACTTCATGGAAGTCCTGGAATTGGGGGAGCTTAAAAGTTCGCAGATGCAGCCAGACATGTTTCAATTAATGTTAGCGATTGTGGTGCTGAGAGCCGAGCAGCCCGCTATTTTGCGAAGTTTTCGGTCATGTGAAGAACACCTTGGCACGAATATGCATACACACACAATGTGGGCAGGTGAGATTTTAGAACGCCGCTTCGGTGAAGCGCATTGTGAGCCGGGACATTTCCTCGCAAAACAAGGCCCATGAGTGTTCGCTTTGCTGAGACCTGCGGCTGTCTTCCCTGATCATTCTGGCTGGAACCCATTGTCTGGCTTCACTTCTAAGATCCTCCCCCTCCCCTTGGTTCCCTCACTTACAGCAGAGCAGCATCATGTAGCAGAAGCGGTGATTGTCCCTCGATCTCGAACCGGTCGCCCACCGGCCTCACGCGGAAGGTGGAGGTGGCGTGCCCCACCAGCGGCAGGGTGGCCATCTTCTCCCGGTACGTGACCGTGTAGCGCCAGTCCTGGTAGCTGCCCGACTCCTCGCCCAGGTCAAACTCCGTGCTGAAACACACGGTCGGGCCTCGCTCAAACCCCGCCCCGAAACCGGCTCGGTCACGGCCGCGGGCAGCAGAAACAGGCTATTCGCAGGGGCACCGGCAGCAGAAATAGGCCATTCGCAGGAGCACCGGCGACGCACTGAAGTGCGCCGCCGGTGCTCCAGGTAGCACCATGTTCGGACAATGTCCGCCACGCCCTTCTGCTCTAATGACGCCGTCAGCATCAGGGGCACAGGCTGAGGTTCATCATGCACGCAATGGTAGTTTGCTTGCGTATTAATGCTGAGCGTGGCCGGGCGCTTCACAGTGGCCCGATTTGTGTCAAACTGTGCGGAATCCCCAAATGCTTCTCTGAGTCCCCTCCGCATAATGCATACGAGCAAAGGGAGAATACTGAGCCAAATAAATGTATAACAATTGTGTTACCTACTGATAATCTAGGTAAAAGGCGCCTTTAGAAAATCGTTATTTATTAGCATGCTAATTTTGCACTACATTGTGTCATTTAAGCACTTTATGCTTTTATCACGCTGACTCCTTCATATGTTGCCAGTTTGCAAATGTTGGACAAGATTTGCAAATTTTGCTAGGATTGGGACTAAGAGCAAATGACTGCAGTACACGGCAACTTTTAAAATGCAGGGTGGTCCAGCGAAAATTTACCGCATGCTTTCCCCCATGGTGGCAAGCGTATTTGCACAATGTTCACTGTGTTTGTCTATAACCGTGACTGTTGTGGTTAGACAACACGATCACCGATAGCGACAGTCACCAGCGATTCCTTATAAAGATTTAACAAAGTTGTTTTTTCTGTGAATCACACCGCATTCTAGGCTTTTCACAAAAAGGTAGCTCTTATGAACTTGAAATGAAAGTTAAGACTAGTTTTAGCCTTATTCCTCGGAAAACCCCGGAGAATGGAGATGAAGTTAGGTTGACATTTCGGCAACATGCCTTTATCGAAACAACAGCAGAAGTGGAAATGGAAACTATGTATATGAAATGAAAAGTCATGCTTCAGTAGGACAAAAACCTGGAATCTATTAAATATCGAGAAGTTTTGTCTTACTTTTGCATCAAGGGCACAAATTCAAGTTGCCGAATCCGGGGAGAAATAAGGTTTTGGGGTGGGTTAGATCAAGCTTTTCGGTTGACCCTCTAACCGATCTCAAAAAGTGACACTGCCAGGCACGCTACATCGTGTTACGTCAGCCATGATTAAATTATATTGAAACTGATGCCTGCATTGTGTGGCGCACTAGCAGCGAGGGCAAATCCGTCACCGACAGCGATGTTCGGCCGTCGGCGAAAATATTACGATCGCTCGAACTGGACTGCGGCTTTAATCCCCTCCAATCTCGTCCTGCTCCTTGTCGGTGACGTCCGCGTTCGTACCTCGACCCGGCGGCGGCGGCCAGGTGACGTCACCTGGCGGCCGTGACCCTGGCCAGCGTGGCCCAGATCCGGCCCGGCCGGCGCGCCCCGAGGAAGCGACGCCGCCGCCCGCCTGCGCCCGAGCAATGAGGAAATGCCGACCGGCGCTCAAGGCTGCCGGCGGCCGGGCTAGCGCGGGTTTTGCCCCGGGTTGGAGGGACAGCGAGGACGTTTGTGCCGTCACGGTGGGCGTAATCCGCTGCACGCGGCTTCACCGGCCGTCGGCAGAGCGGGCTGCGCAGCAGCACCACATCGCGCGAGGTCACGGAGGGGCCGAGTCGTCGGCGAGCTGGCCAGCCAGGTCACATCACCGCTGTTGTTTTCTTCGTCCGCACTCTCGGACTGGAATGTCGTCTCGTCAGGAAGTGCTGCGCCAGCGCGACCTTGTTGGTGCCGTCCGCTCTTGGCTGCTATGCATGGACTGGATGGCGTGCGGTCTGAAGTAACCTCGGACGTACGCATGGAGTGAACTGACGAATGTTGAGAAAGCACCGGAAGCGTCAGCGACGGTGGCGATCATTGGCGCCGGCGTACTCCGGTCACTGGCATGTCATCAGTGTGTGGATACCGATCTCCTAACTGTGGATCCCCGAACTGTCACTGCCTGCTTCCTGGGCTGCCTCTAGTCACATGATCAGATAGGTGAGCGACAATTACTGCAAGGTGCGCCTCACAGATCTGTGTGCCTCAGGGCGGAGCAAGCTAGATGCGGCCGCCCTCCGACAACGTTTTGCGGTCATTCGCCCCATTGCCATCGGCATCATCTGATGAAGAACAAGGCGAAGGTCCTCCCAAAGCTGGAGGGTGAAGAACCCGCATCTGCAAGTCCTTACCAGAGATGCCAGCGGGAGTTGTACTCGTTGCACCCAACCATGTGCTCGTTATATGGAGCTGCTGCCTTTAGGGCCTTGGTTCCACGCTGCCAATGATGCAAAGAGCTTCACCTTGACTTTGACCTGTTGAAATGCACGTGTCAAGTGCAGAATGAAGAAAGCAATCGCCAAGCTATTGCATTTCCAATATTGTGCAAGCACCTGCGTCCTGGGAACGCTAGGTAAAACTTAAACATTGCCGGCATTTCCTGTGTCTGGCTCGGTATGACCATGATGTCCACGATCGAACGGTCTCGCGATGCATGTACCGGTAGCCTTGCGCCGTCTGATCCGTCACGGAGCCACTTCAGGGTCGACCGGGGTGAGGTCACTGACAGCCGAGGCGAGCCACCGGTCGCGACAGAAGACCTTGGAATCGGAAATCAGCCACTCTGGCCGGGCCTTTAGCATATACGCTGGCTCCAGCCCAGCCGAGACGAATGCTCGAATGAACGCGGACTCGGGCGAGTACAGACTGGTGATTAGTCTGGGAGGCGGCAGGCAGAGAAAATGACCGGCGCGGCGACGGTGATGCGTGCAGGCGCTGGTCAGCTAAACAAAGATGGGAGGTGCTTTGCTGAGCTGAGCACCTCCCATCCCTGAAGTGCTGAGCTGGTCAGCTGAGCATGGTCGGGAAGTGCCCGGCTGGTCAGCTGAGTGGGGTCAGAATGTGCTGAGTGGTTCAGCTGAGCAGGGATGGGAAAGTGCTGATACTAGTCAGCTGAGCGGGGATGGGAGGTTCTGATGTTGGTCAGCTGAACAGAGTCAGGAAGTGCTGAGCTAGTCAGCTTAGCAGGGATGGGAGGTTCTGATGTTGGTCAGCTGAACAGAGTCAGGAAGTGCTGAGCTAGTCAGCTTAGCAGGATGGTACTGAATGTTGGTCAGCTGAACAGAGTCAGGAAGTGCTGAGCTAGTCAGCTTAGCAGGGATGGGAGGTACTGATGCTGGTCAGCTGAGCAGAGTCAGGAAGTGCCGAGCTGGTCAGCTGAGCGGGAATGGGAGGTACTGATGTTGATCGGCTTAGTGGAGCGATGTGTGTGTGTGTGTGTGTGTGTGTGTGTGTGTGTGGTGTGTGTGTGTGTGTGTGTGTGTGTGTGTGTGTGTGTGTGTGTGTGTGTGTGTGTGTGTGTGTGTGTGTGTGTGTGTGTGTGTGTGTGTGTGTGTGTGTGTGTGTGTGTGTGTGTGGTGTGTGTGTGTGTGTGTTGTGTGTGGTGTGTGTGTGTGTGTGCATGTTTGTGTGCGTGTGCGGGTCGGGTCGGCCAGGCACGTGGAACAGGCGTTATTAAGCGGTAGCAAACAAACAACTTGCGGTCGGAGTTTGAAGTAGCTGTCGCCGTAGTTCATAGAACTTGTTCGAGAAAGTGCCTTTGTAAGTAATCTGCAGGCCAAGAAGCGGTATGCTCCGCAAAGCACGCGCCACGAGTCTTGCCGTCCCCAGTACGGCACTAAGTCACGCTGAACGCATTGGCTGTTGCCGTCAGCTCTAATTTGCAGCTCTGCGGATGCGACGCAGTATTAACAAACGGAGAGCACTGCGACGGAAGCGCAGTTATTTGGACATCGGAAACATGACATCGCTGAACTGGAAGTGGTGGCTTCAAGTAATTGTCGGAGATGCTCTAAGCTCGCATGAATACGCCACTTGACACCTGCCTGGCGTAAGATGGTCGAAAAAAGGCTGTCGCTAGCTCCGGCAGACTGAACACATTCGCCTAATTCACTACGGACTTGATGGGTGGGACTTTGCATAAAGAAGTGCTGGCGATAGGAAGCGTCACATGAAAGCCGTTAAATCATCAAGTGACCTTTTGTGGACACCCTGCAGATGACAGGTGACATGACATAACCAGACTGCAGGCGACAGGTGTCCTCACATAAACGTATTTAACCTCACATAAGGTCTTGACCTCATATAAATATACTTGACCTGGTATGAGCATGCTTGGCCTCACATGAAAAGACCTGACCCAGTATGCACATAATTGACCTCAAATGACTTGACTTGACCTCGCATGAACGCACTTGACCTCACATGAGTATACCTGATCTCACACGATCATACTTAACCTTACATAACAGACTTGACCTCACATAGACAAATTTGACTTCATGTGAACATACTTGGCTTCACATGATCATACTTAACCTCACATGAACAGACGACCTCGCACGAAACAGGAGCCGGCTGAAGGTCACAGTTGATCTCACATAAACAAAATGCACGGGTGATTTCACGTGAGGAGACTGCGGACGATAGGTAACCTCACGTGAGCGGACGGCGGCCTCACATGAGCGGGCTGAGAGCGGCGATGTTGTTGAAGTCGGCCACGTGCTCCCAGAGGCGGCGCGGCGACACCGCCACGCTGTGCGTGAAAGTGACGGTGTGGGTGGGCTGCCAGCCGAGCCAGGTCACCAGCGCCGTCAGCAGGGCGCCGCCCGTCCAGAGCCTCCGCCTGGCCCACCGCACCGCCATGGCCGCTCGCGCGCGCCACCCAGCTGGCTCCGGCCGACGCCGGTCGCCGCTCTGCTCCCGTGACGTCACTCGCAGGCCAGATGCGGCCGGCGGCGCTGTATCGGCCCCGCTTCCGGCGCGGCTGGTCGGCGCGCGGCACGGCGGCCGGCTGCACGCAGGCGGGAGATGCTGCACCCGGGGCCAGACAGCTGCACGCTCCGACGGACTGCTGCACGCCTCGACTGGAACTGCACCGCCGACTTACGACTGTACGCGTGGACGAACGCATCCGCCTTCTGCCTGCCTGCGCCCTCCCACCGACGACCGCAATCGCCTACCGAAGACTAGGTCTGGCTTCTGTTGCGCCTGTCGACTCACTGGTCGGCAGCGCACCTCCGGCAGACGACTCTCGCTCCGGTAGACGACTGCACCTCCGACAGACAACTGCCTCTCCGACAGACGACTGTCTCTCCAACAGCCGCCTACACCAGCGGTCGAACCCGTTACGGCGTGTGCGGGGTCATCATTGTCCGGACCTATCTGCCGGGCCAGCGGGGCGCTCGACTGCGGCGAGCGGCGCTCACAGCGCCCGCCATCTGCCATCTGATGCCAACAGTTGGCATAGTGCAGAACAAAACGGGCCGCACAAATAGCGTTGTTAGCGGAGGGAAGGATGCAGACACCTAGAGCCCCAGCTCAGTTTCTGCCTCTGCCAAAAGTTGTTAATGTGCTGTACGGCTGGCTGAAATATTGAATGATCACTGAGCTCTACGATGGTTTTGAAGGGCATTGCTCTCGGAAATCTTCAGCCCAAAGTCATTTAGAAAACGTTCCACTTTTCCAACATCGCCCTCCTTTTACGCATGCGTGTTTGGATCTATGTGTAGAGCTTTAAGCGGCGAATGCGTTTTTGCAGGTAAGGCTGCCGTCCAGGGGACAGCCTCACCGCGTCGGGAACAGGCCCTCGATTATCGTCTGATATTTCCACTGGGTTAAATGGATCCATAAATGTATATTATCACGATGAAAATTGTTCGATAATGCGACATTAAATACTCGTATGCATGACATTATACACGAATAAGAACATCAAACACCGACTCACCAGCCGGCGTTCCAGGGGCGCCCCTGATCGTCAGACATTTGGTCACAGCGTCGGTCGGGTCATATGGGTGAACACAAAACACAAAGGCCGCACTAATATCGTCTCACGTGCCTCCTTGTACACCGCGTGAGGGTGCAGCGGAGAGCACGGATACTCTGCTGGCTGGACAGGTACTGACATGAGGTCATGGTGTCTCCACACTCATCTACTCTCATGGCTTACATCTGCGCTCGCACATCACACCACGTTATCGGAACAGCTTCCCCTGATCGGCGGCCGGGGACAGCCTGGGGCGGCGCGGCCGGACAGCCGCGGCCGTGCCGACCGTGCAGCGGGGCACGGTGGCGCGCCGCGGCCGCCCAGCCGGCCGTGCCGGCTCGGCTTGGCTCGTGTAGCGCGCACTCAGCAGATCGGCACGCTCGGGAACGGCACGCTGCCCGGGAAGGCGAACGGGTCCGGGTTGATGGTGTTGCCAAAGTTGCAGCGGCGGGCGGAGCGGCTGGAGCCGCGCCCGCGGCCGCCGCGCAGACGGCGTCCCGAGCGGTACACGAGGAAGCCTTCAGCCGGCACCAGCAGCAGCAGCGACAGCAGGACCAGCATCAGGACGGTGGCGAAGCGGAGCATGGTCGGGGCTGGGCTGCAACAGGCCGGCAGTCGCATCAGGACGCGGCGACGTCACGCAGGCCGACCGACCTGCGCCGAAAGCCAGCACAGGCACTGCCGTCCGGTGGGGGCCAACTGAGACTGTCACAGCTCAAGCATCGCTCACGCACTTCCACACTGGCGAGCTTCCGCACTGGGACTGGTAATTACTCTGTGGCTCTGTACAAAACAAGATAATTGGTTTCGCTGGCCTAGGTCTTTCGACACGCTCCGTGTCCTGCCACCAGAGGCGCTGGCCAAGGTCTGTTCCGCAATCACTGCCGCCGGCGCGGGGCAAACACAATCTGATTGATCTGTACCTATTCAAAGTCGGCGCCAGCTCCTTATCGGTGCACTGAACACAATGGAACTGGGTTCGGCATATTTGGTTATCTTTTAAACTGATGCGAGCGACATCCCACTCACACGCTTAGAAAGAAAGCGCGGAAACAAGTTGCACCCGCTCCCTTTGTGCAATGGTGGTATGGAAGGCCACATCGCCACGCATTTCGGAGCGGGAACCGCTCTTGTGTGTACCACGCTTTGCATTGGTGTGCAATCTTAGGCCGCCGACACAGAAACGTGGCAAGAATTTCGGAGAGGAAAAAATAGTTCCTTTCGCGTGCACGTAAATGACAGGAGATACCCTAGCCCCAACGAGCGGACCGAGTGCTCGTGAGGACTTTGTTAAGCGGGACCGCCGACGTTCGGCGCAGCCGCCTGGCCGTCCGCCGGCCGACCGAGCCGCGCCGCGCTCACCTGCTTTCTGCTGGGAGGAGCTGCTGGGAAGCGGTGGGGGTGTGCGGAGCGAGTGCTGCCAGTGGCGTCCGGCGCGTGCCCTTTATACTCGGCGCGCGCCGGCCGGCCGGCCGCGGGGCCGCCAGCGGGGTGCATGCCCCCGCCAGCGCCGAGTGCCGCCCGGGTGGAGGCAGCAGGAAGTGGCCAGGGACGGACACTGGACGAGCCAGCGCAGCCGGGTCGCGACACGGGCGACACGGCTCCGGCCAGCGGCGCGGTGTCCCAGCAGTCAGCGCGCGCTGTTGGAACTTCGGGCTGAAATTGAACTCGGGAGCTATGCCGGCTTACAGGCCTTGCCACACTGAGGAGTACAGCATGTACAATCGACGTTAGTATGCTTTGGCGCCTTCCGAGCGAGAGGACTGGCAGAATTCGGATTTGGTCTGCCGTAACCAGAACTGTTCGCCCCCACTTTTTGCAGCCAGTTTGCGTATACTTTAAAAGCATAGAAAGCAAGTTTCGACTCGAATGCTCCAAAGAGTCTGAAATATATGCCGTCTATCAGTACATGGTTGGTTTTTAAAAAAACGGACATAGTTCTGAGTTCAAAATTTCTGCGATCGAGTCCGAGTTATGGCATCTCGGCCCGAGTTCCGAGTTCACCTATGCCGCATCACGCGAGTCCGAAGTCGCGGGTCACGAACAGATTTCACCTACCGAAGTGACGAGTCACGAAACCGAAAACTTAATCTCAAACAACCGAAATAAACCAAACCATCCATCTCAACTCAAGCAGATAGGCCCTGAAATGACTTCCCATACGCTTTACACGAAACTTTCACACGCATATTGTCGTTAAAACGTGTCCTTAACCATGTTTAATATCTTGGTGACAATCACAGTTTAACCAGAGTATTCCATTTTCAGAACCTTTGAGTGTGAGTATGACGTCTAGTTCTACGTCTATTGTGTGCGTGATGTCTAGTTCTGAGACTGAGTCAACGTTTGTTTTTTTCTGGATTTGTCATTGCAGCTCACGAAGGTCAAGAGCACCGGTACGCGATCGTGAGGCCGTCCGTTCTCAGCTCCGTGCCTGCCAGACGGATTGGTGGGCTCTTTAAATGGACGGCGTTGGCGCTGCACTGTAGCTGACTTTTGGTGGCAGGCGCTGCGGGCTTTCCGCTCTCAGACAACGGCTTCGCAGAAGCGACCAGTTTGCGACTCAGTGCGTATGGCTTGCTTCGAGTACTCGGTGGTACGTTCCAGATGTAGATAGTTTTCTTGTGTAGGATGTTAGATGCTCAGACTCAGATGTGAATTCTGTTTGAGTCTTCGTCGGCTAATTCCAGACGTATTGCCGTTTGCAACGCCCCATGCTGGGCGCTCTGCCGTCCTTCTCCTACACCCCGTAGCTCTAGCGTAGAAATTGTTGGGTATGGGTACGGTCTTTGAGTTCTTTGACAAAAACTGGTCCATTTTCCGGGACGCAGCCGATGACAAGATTCACCCTGAACTTTATCGCTGTCATCGATCACGCTGTAACATCACGCACACTGTACCGCTGGCTGTAGCATCACGCACGCTGCCCTGCTAGCTGCGGCGACATCACGCACACTGCCCTGCAGGCTGTGACATCACGCACACTGCCCTGCAGGCTGTGACATCACGCACACTGCCCTGCTAGCTGCGGCGACATCACGCACACTGCCCTGCAGGCTGTGACATCACGCACACTGACCTGCAGGCTGTGACATCACGCACACTGCCCCGCAGGCTGTGACATCACGCACACTGACCTGCAGGCTGTGACATCACGTACACTGCTCTGCTGGCTGTGACATCACGCACACTGCCCCGCAAGCTGTGACGTCACGCACACTGCCCCGCAGGCTGTGACATCACGCACACTGCCCCGCAGGCTGTGACATCACGTACACCGCTCTGCAAGCTGTGACGTCACGCACACTGCCCTGCAAGCTGTGACGTCACTCACACTGCCCGCTGGCTGCCGTCGACTGCGGACGTCGACGTCAAACATGATTAGAACAGAAATTGTTAGTGCGTGGCGTCTAGTTTAGTTTGGAATTGATATGTGTTGATTGACATTTGTGTGTACTTGTGCTCGACCTCCTGCTTGGCCCTGTAATGAGCAATCCTCAAGATGACACATTATACAAAGGGTGTTTGGATTTGTATGGCTGGCTTAAGCCGTGCGTTGGAGGTAAAATAATAAATGATACAACTATCAATAAGCGCTGCGATTCGTAACAGCCTTTATTCTGTATTCATTTTACACAGGGTGCTCATATTTTTTGTGGCGTCAGCATATCTGGACTCTACGGCGATTGAACATGGCATTTAACAGTAGCAAACCGTCCTCTAATATATACTGCTGATGCGCGTGATTCGAAATATTTTCATTAAAATCATGGAAACTTTTAAGTTGGGAAGTCAGCTTTTATGGCATGCCTATGAGTGTTGCACATGTTCCAGAGGACTTTATAGGTCGGGTTAGTCCATAAGTACCAATTTTAAAATTGCGGATGTGAAATGCATTTTCAAAATGTCGGGAAGCTACTTTGAAAACCTACTTAACTATTCTGCAGTTATCAACGCGGAAGAAGAAAAGAGTGAGTTTGGGTGGAAATGTTCTTGAAAGTTTCCATAATTTGCTACTAAAGAGGATGCAAAATGTAAATAGGTGCGTAACGGGCGGGTGACATTGATAAGAAATATGTAACAGGTGACCGTGAACACAGCCCGATGGCTAATGAGTGGATTGGGTAATAAAAAAACTACTACTCGTGAAGGTCTCTTTGCCTGTATGCCGTTTTGGTTTATATTCTACATGCGCTCTTCCCTAAAATTCCTTATCTCTTGTTGGTGTTCACTCATCCTGGATGGGTGTCTTAACGATCACCAATGTTTGCGATGAGGTGGCATATTGAATAAATGGTGGCGGCTAGTACTTCTCGCGTCTACTCACTTTATTGCATGTTGCATGTGGCATTGACTCTCTATTGCGATGAGTGACGTATAAGTGTTCGTATGCATACGAGCATTTGTTACCACTGCCTCGCCGAGCAAGTTAGGTTTCGATATTGATGACGCTTTTGGCATATCTTAACACACACACAATATGATTTCGCCTACACGTGACATTCGTCCGCACATTTGAATGTTCTGCATGAGTCTAGAACGATGTATGAACAGTACGTACGATGCAAGGTCAGACGGAGTTGTCACACACCCGTTTTGGTGCACGTCATCAGAATATTCAGTGACATGTTCATGGAGATCGCAATGCACGGAGGTATCTTTAAATCGATACGTTCCGTCATAGTACTGGTCCTTCAGCATGCAGAGAACCTCACCTTGCATCCAGCCAGACGGACTGATGGCCAGATAGGGAATCGACCTCCAAACGATAGCTGGGAAATTGATGGCGGTGAGTTGTGAACGGCTGTTTACATGCCGCTGAAATGTCGACTTGCAGGAACGCAGGACCAGCCATCGCGCCGCCAGCTATGCTTCATGAACGTCTGGACGTGTTTTCATAACGGCTATCAGCAAACAATACATCACCAGTGGTGCACATGACTTGTGATTTAGACCATCGAAAGCTCAAACGACGCAGTCAGGCTTGCCTCAGCGGTCCTGACATCAGCTACTCGTCACATTTTGTTACGCTGCAGGTCTCAGCCTGCACCGTACCACGTGGACTTCATGTTATCGACAACAAATCGTACCGCTTGTTCACAGCAATAGGCAACCATATTTTCAAGCTGCGAAATCCGTTTAGGACCCATGCACAGGCCACACCACGGGCGTCGAATAGTCCGCCTTGATGTATTAGGATCTAGGTATTGGAGCGATTCCAACGGGCAAAACGCCACCAGAAGCTTGTTACCTGAATTATGTATTGTTAACAAATATGAAATTGTCCAGTGGGATTACCAGGAGAGCATACAGTAGAGAGGAGCATTGGTGGGCTTGACGTCCAGTGCCCTTCGGCTTTAGATTACGCGTTGCCTCCTTTTTTATCCTGACCCATCTCGGTAAGCATTAGACTGGTATTGCCACATGGACATAGGCAGACATAGACATCACTACAGACACCCGTAGACATCGGTAATATTGAATGGCCTTGATTAGACCCGGTTTGTTGTGTGGCTTATCTTTTCTCTCTCATGTTTAAATCCATATAAAGATTTCGGCACTTTCGGCTCTAAGGGCTCCTCTGGACTAGATTTGTGAGCGGCGTACCCAGAAAGATCGATGTGTTCTCATGTCCTTGGTGACTCATACCTCTGCAGCGCATGAGTTGCCCGGGTACTCCTTGATTCTTAAACCCATTTCTTAGCCATCAAAAGTCTGCATGCTGTAATATAGATCACAAATCACCAATCTCCAAATTATGGAAATATGCCTTTTTGTAATGTGCGAAAATGGGCAGTGTGCAATGATGAAATGTGAGGAAAAACTATTTTTGTGCTGGTGCTAATTTAATGTTTCTGGGCTAACAGGAGTGTTTCACCAAAACGGCACTGGAAAGCTCTCGTCAAACTACATCAGAAAGACGCTTCTGAACAGTGGTGAAAATGACCTCTGCAGGTCAGCAAGTCATATGAGACAAACTGGCACTTTACAGTGCCCTGCTGCTACCTAAATAACTAAGCAAGCATTCTAAAACAGTGAGGAATATGACATTGAATAGCTCTTCGAAAAAGTGGTCGGATGACCTTTACTAGCCCTCGACACATGTGACCCATGGTATTACTGCGTTGGCCGGTCGAGCTATGTCAAGAAGTAAACAAGCCACAACGATTGGGAAAGCAGCGTCAGGAAGGCCTCCCAAGGCTTTAAGATATGTGACATTGAAGTGTCAGTTGTACGACCGCAAAGGGTCATATCTCACCACAAAGTCTAAGGTTGACCTAATTTGGTTTTCCAGAAGGATTCCCTTTTGAACGGGCTGGTTGGCCGATCGGATAGCGCTCAGTAGGCACCTTGCACTGACAATGTAACTTCCTCCTCCCCTTCCGGTTCTCACTTTTGGCATTTTTGATCCGTCGCAGTTGTCGCGCTATCTGCATCGCGCTATCGCGCTATCTATGTC